GGCATATATTCATCTGAGTTAGAAAATTAACAAATGCCAACTAACTGGCGTCCTCATACCTTTTTAAAACCCCTACCTCTGTTATGTTTCATCCAAATATCGAATTATCTATTTCTAATCACGAGTATTTAGTTTACTTTTCAAGATATCAGTGTCCAATTGTACAAAATTTTCCAGTGTCTAATTTTTTTTGAAATTCATCGCTATTCACTTGCTTTATCAAAATAAGGCAAAATACTCACAAGCATTGCACACTGTCTTATGTCATTTTGCCTAGAAGGCAGCCATTTGCAAAAATGGCCACCATTTTTACGTGTGTCCTTTCACATTTTTATATTTTACATTTTAAAACTCAAAGAAGTAGTGGAATGGGTTTGTTGAAATTTTATATGCCGTTACTTAAAGGGTTCCGATTAGCATCCCGTATAAAACAATATGGCGGTTCCAGGCGAATCAACTGGATCAGTCCATTTTTAAGAAATAAGGGGAGTTCTGTAAAATCCAGTTTATTGAAATTGTCTTTGAGATAAAGTAATCCGTTTATAATGATTTTGAAAACGTTATCCAAAGAGTGATTGCGTTCAAAGAATACATGTACAACAGCCAATATAAATCCTTGTATTAGAAACCGGTTTGTCTTGCTTTGTTTTATTTGTAGCATATTTCATATGCCAAGCTGTGTGCTATTACGTTATGGGGAAATTTAGATGCCAACTTTACCTTATTGTACACAAATAGAAGATCCTGAAACTTCACCCATAAATGTGGAATTGATTTGTCAAAATAAAAATCACCCATTTATAAATGTGTGACGATCTATAATATACTTATGCTATATAACAGTGAGTTAGAGGTGTTGACACAACGACCTCGAACCTGTGAACCCTTGAGTATTATTCCGGGATCGGGCCTTTTATACTAAACGGTGGCAACACCAGAAACGAGCGTTCGATTTGCTAAACGATATGCGTCACCCTTTAAAAGCACATTATACATTCTTATGATAATTTGACTAGTGAGTGACCATTTTGAAAAATGATGGCCATTTTATGTGCGTTATTTTAGAATTTTTGCTATAACTGAAAAAGTAGTAGAGGGATTTCGTAAAACGGACTGTCTCCCGTACAGACAATTGTCGGTACTGGAGACTGCCCAGTGAGTATTTGCTAACGCACCGACAATTGTCGGTACATGGAGACTGCCCAGTCAGTATTTGCTCCCGTACCGACAATTGTTGTCACTCTATCGTCTTCTAGTAGGGCAAGATAGAGGACCGACATTTTCAAAAATAAATACACTAGTTTCACTTTTGTCTGTATCTTTTACTGATAGTGTAGTGGTTACCGAGTTCGATTCCCGCTTTCGGATGCATTTTTCTGTGTCTAGACAATACATTTTGCTTTTTTGCGGACCCAGTTTTGAAATTGTTCTTTTTATTTCTTTTTATATCAGTATCCAATATTTAATAAGATGAATATCAAAGCACAAACTAAGGGGGGAAACGACCCAGTTCTCCATAGAGTGCTAGTGTTGCAGTTGATGTTTTCACACCGAGAATGCTTTTTAAAAAGGACAAGTGAATAGTTTCAAGTGACTTGATATATTTTTTTACTTGACCATATTTCTAAACCATACATCAAAATTTGTTGGACAAGTGAATCGAATAAATGTTAGGAAACTGATATATGGGAATGTCATTGAACTTGTGATATTGTTGCTTTATTTTGAATTAAGCTTTTCTAGATTGTTCTTTAAGATAGCATATTGTTTATCAAAATTATTTTTCCTGTTGAAAATACACCCTAGATATTTGTAGTCTACAACACATGCAATCACTTCACTATTGAATTGAAAAGTTTCACCTAATTTAGAGTTAAAAATAATGGCTTTTGTTTTAACAGTGTTGACAACAAGATGATAGTTTCAGCTAAAATCAAAGAGAGAGTCTACCATTGACTGAGCACTAGATTTAGAGCTAGCTATTAATACTAAATCATCAGCCCAAGGTAGATGATTGAAAGAAACACTTTCAAACTCTATACCATGTTCTAAGGGGAGACAATCTTTCAAGTCATCCAAAAAATGGTTTAAAAGATATGTACTGATAACATAGCCCTGCATGACTCCCATTTCAGTATTGTTGTAGGTTGGGGGTAAAGCCATCTTTAAGTTTGAGACATGATTTCGATTTTTTGTACATAATTTATAAAGAAGTGCTGTCCTGTTGACATAATCAAACGCTTTCCTAAAATCTACAATTATACAATAAAGAGGCCTTTTCTGTCTCTTAAAATGTGAAATAATGGTATTTAAAATGAACAAATTATCTGTCGTACGGTGACCAGATTTGTAAGCCCCTGTAATGGGTCTTGAATATAGAGCATTTCTGCATTGAACACTAAATCTTGATTGAATGATTGTATCAAAAACATAACAAGCAAGCACAATGATTCCTGTGTAATCATCTGGATTGAAACGTGATCATTGTTTGTAAAGAGTGGAGAGAATTCCAATACTGAGTATACAGAAACTGTTTTGCCCAAATATGGATATATTTCAGAAAACGTGTAAAAGTGTTAATGTATAAATGTTAATATCAAAACAAAACAGAAAGCTATATCTACATAATATATTGAAATAATATGAAGTATTCAATTGCATTAAAAGTTTAAGTGATCAGATTGGCTTATTTATTGTGAATATCTTTTTTACAGAATCCATTTAAATACATTCTGAAGAATCACACGCTTTGATATCGAAGGCATTTTTAAACACCACATACATGAATCCATACAGCATACTCCCCAACTATCATTACATGAAAATATCATTCGATGATTTGTCATAAAATACATAATACAAGGGGCGATCCATATATTCTGATAAAAATGCTCTCATTTTGTGATTTTTTCACATATCCCTTTCATTTTTTCAGAACATGTAGATTATGTAATTACACATACGATGCTAAAATATTTTAGCTGTATCTTAAAATTAATTTTGAAATAAGGTTGCCATGGTAACTTGTATTTAGGGTAGGCAGGTCAGTTAAATTATAACGTCTAAAATAGATAAATATGTTAATTTAATCATTCCTCTGTACCTATTTTAAGCAGATCAAACCCATCTTCCAGTCATTGTCAACTATTCATTGATCTGTTCCATACCCCTGTTGCCCTTGTTTGATAATTTATACAGTGGGATAGCTATCTTTTCATAAGTAACATCTCAATTTATCGTAGTGTTATTCTCTGTCCGCAAGCTCTTCTTGCAACCAGATTGCGGATGATCTTCAACAGTGACCATGCTTTCCTCTTTACAATACCACCTATATATTCTTTATGCAGATATAACACCTTGCCCTTGCACTTTATGAGTCCATGTATGTCTCTGACAGTGTCCTCTTACTTATTCTTGAAAGAAAATCAAATCTAATGGTATTCCCTAATGTATCCGTTAATGTGACACTCTGCATCTGCCACACTAACCTAATCTGACAATTTGATTTTTGGTGTGTCTCATAACATGTAATGTCAATTGGCCCATTCTGTCCTACAATGCTATTGTGATTTGTTGTGATGTTATAGTGAGCACATATAAACATTTGTTTAGCAGCAAACAACGAGTAACAATACCAAACCTTTTTAGACAAAATGCATGATTTCCACATGCTTTAAAATAATTAAAATAACAAGTTATTTTGATATTTATATGTTATAATTAAATTGACCTGCCTACCCTTAATACAGGTTACCATGGCAGCCTTATCTCATTGATAATTTAAGATATAGCTATAATATTTTAGCATTGTATGTGTAATTACACACTCTACATTTTCTGAAAAAATGAGAGGGATATGTGAAAAAATCACAAAATGAGAGCATTTTTATCAGAATATATGGATCGCCCCTTGTATATATGGTGCTGTATTTCAGATTTTTTATGGTGCTATGTTTTCTTGGTTTTATGCAAATTATTTGTAAATTCCAAGGGAATGATGAATAAGTATGACCAGTGAATACCATCAGGAATTCCATGACAAGTGACCTGATTTTGACAAATCATACAAATAAATTGCTAGCTCGGCAGTAACACAATACTCATACATATTAAGTTGACCTGATTTTGACCAAGCATGCAATTAAATTGCTAGCTTGGCAGTGACATAATAATCATACATATTAAGTTGACTTGATTTTGACCAAGCATACAATTAAATTGCTAGCTTGGCAGTGACATAATAATCATACATATTAAGTTGACTTGATTTTGACCAAGCATACAATTAAATTGCTAGCTTGGCAGTGACATAATAATCATACATATTAAGTTGACCTGAATTTGACCAAGCATACAATTAAATTGCTAGCTTGGCAGTGACATAATAATCATACATATTAAGTTGACCTGAATTTGACCAAGCATACAATTAAATTGCTAGCTTGGCAGTGACATAATAATCATACATATTAAGTTGACTTGATTTTGACCAAGCATACAATTAAATTGCTAGCTCGGCAGTGACATAATAATCATACATATTAAGTTGACTTGATTTTGACAAATCATACAAATAAATTGCTAGCTCGGCAGTGACACAATACTCATACATATTAAGTTGACCCGATTTTGACCAAGCATACAATTAAATTGCTAGCTTGGCAGTGACATAATAATCATACATTGATTGTGACCAATCATTCAATTAAATTGCTAGCTTGGCAGTGACATAATAATCATACATATTAAGTTGACCTGAATTTGACCAAGCATACAATTAAATTGCTAGCTTGGCAGTGACAGAATATTCACACATATTAAGTTGACTTGATTTTGACCAAGCATACAATTAAATTGCTAGCTTGGCAGTGACATAATAATCACACATATTAAGTTGACCTGAATTTGACCAAGCATACAATTAAATTGCTTGCTTGGCAGTGACATAATAATCACAAATATTAAGTTGACCTGATTTTGACAAATCATACAAATAAATTGCTAGCTCGGCAGTGACAGAATATTCACACATATTAAGTTGACCTGATTTTGACCAAGCATACAATTAAATTTCTAGCTTGGCAGTGACATAATAATCATACATATTAAGTTCACCTGAATTTGACCAAGCATACAATTAAATTGCTAGCTTGGCAGTGACATAATAATCATACATATTAAGTTGACCTGAATTTGACCAAGCATACAATTAAATTGCTAGCTTGGCAGTGACAGAATATTCACACATATTAAGTTGACCTGATTTTGACCAAGCATACAATTAAATTGCTAGCTTGGCAGTGACACAATAATCACACATATTAAGTTGACCTGAATTTGACCAATCATACAATTAAATTGCTTGCTTGGCAGTGACAGAATATTCACACATATTCAGTTGTGTTCCTCCAATTGTTCAAGTCAGTTGACATTGTTGGTTATTTCAAAATCAACAAATCAAAATATATGCATGATATATTTTACAAGTATTTTTATATAATTGGTAATTAACTCTAGCAGAATACGTCCAATTTCTTTAGAATAAGCAAATTATTTTATATTCACTTTTTGATTTTGATAGTGATTATTGGTACCGTAAAAAAGATTTCCACTAACAGAGGTTTTGCATTACGTTTAGTATATGAAAAACTTGATTTTGGAAAGTAATATTGTTCTACGTAAAGTGTTGTTGTTGTTCCACTTGAAAAGCGTTTGTGTTCCACTTGAAAAATGTTGGTGTTCCACTTGAAAAATGTTGGTGTTCCACTTGAAATGTGTTTGAAAAATGTAGGTGTTCCATTTGAAAAAGTGTTTGTATTTCACTTGAAAAGTGTTTGTGTTACACCTACATTGTTGTTCTACTTTCCAATTTTTACTCTGTTAGCGCAAAAAGCATCTCCTCATCCCCATCATTGTTTTGATACAAAAAAGGAGTATCGACCTCACCTCTAAATCTAGGTTCCCCCAGAGCATCCTGTAACTTCCTCAAGAACAGTAATTTTCTGTCCTCGTCTTCGCTCCACTCTAGATACACCCTCGTGTCCAGCAGGGACCGCAGGGTGGGAGATATCAGCTCTGGAGGAAGTAATTCCACTGGCTCTTTGAGAATTAAGATCAAGCAATCTCGTCCCCTTGTTGCCAACTCACCCCTTGCCAGATTCATTTCAAATTTACACCAGCCACTTCTAAGGAAATTCTGGCTGATAACCAGTATGATTTTGTTGCTCTTGCTGATACACTCAACAATAATGTCAGATAAATATGATCCAGGTCTGAAGTTACGGTCATCCACGCAAATGTTATATCCATGCTGAGCTGCTAACTGACCATAGATGTTATTAATAGCCCAGGTTTTGTCCAAAGAACTGTAACTCAGGAAACCATCAAAGTCATAGTCTATGTCTTGTAACTGATTGCGTCTCAGTAAAGCTCTAAGGTGTAAGGCTATGTATATAATCCTATACCTCCGCTTATATCCATAGGCGACAACTCCAACGATCACTAGAACGAATCCTACTGATATCCCAGATGCCACAATTGCACTCTTCCTACATTCAAACTTCATATAAGATACATCCAAGAGTGTGAATTTGACCTGTGACCCATTTATGTACTGGCAAGACAAATTAGCCCCTTCGTAAATAATATCTTGATGATCCTTCACCCAGTTTATGAATGGGATCCCGGGGAACGCATCACAGTTACACATAAATGGGTTGCCATTAAGGTCCACAGTAAAATTGCCATTAGATGTCTCATACGCAGAGTTAATGTTATTTCGTGCAGATTCACCAAGTCTTTGGATAATGTTCTTAGACAAATTCAGCAATTTCAGTGAAGTTTGTGTTTTTAAGTCTATATTAAGATCGACCAATTTATTTCCACTTAGGTTCACAATCTTTATGGAAGAGGTATCTTTCAAGATATCAAAAGGAACATAAGCCAGGTTATTGTACGATATGTCCAAATAAACTAAACTTGAACAGTTTTTAAACAGGGTGAAATTCGAGCTTGAATTAGACAGCAAGATTCTGTTGTTGGCTAAATCTAGAACTTGTAAACTTTCGAAATAGCCACTTGCACATGTGAAGAATTCAGGTACAATTCTGCAATCATTATTGTTGTAAATGAAATGCTGCAGATGTACTAGTCCTTTAAGTGGACCTCCAAAGTTAGTTACTATGTAACTGTTTTTAGCATTAAAAACTTTGAGTTTGTTATTTCTTGCAAACTTCAATGCACAAGGGATTGAAGTAGGTCTTCGATCTATTGTAGTCAATTCAAAATTGAGTTCTTGAAGTCCCATTGGCAGAGGCAATTCTATATCAATGCAATCACTGGTGCGAGGATAACTTAGGTCTTGAATGGCCCGTCTTTCAGATTCATCAAATCGGATAACTCTTAAATGAACCAGTTTTAATAATTGAACAACAAAGTTCAGATTAGAATTAGGGAAGATTTGGGCTATCATATTTTTCGATAAATCAAGTATTTCCAGTTTTGGAAGATACTTTAAGAAGCCTGTTTCTATAGCAGAGATCCGGTTCAGTGGCAGATGCAATTCTTTCAGTTGGCAGTTTTTAAAATATGTGAAATGTTTTTCTTTCAATATGAATGGAAATATGACATCTTCATAAATTATTTTCTCAATGGTAGAATTCTGTAGTCCTCGAAATGCATTCAGCCAAGCATCTCTCTCAGCATGATAACCATTGAAATTTTTACCCGTTCCTGTCACATCAATGATTTGTATCTCCTTTAATGGTTTAAGCAGCAATGGATGCATAATACTTCCCTTTCGCCATGTAATGTGAAGATTCCGCAATTTACCAAGTCCATGAAATGTATACTGACCAGTGGTTGACAACCTGTTTCCACGCATATCCAAAGTCTGTAAGTTTTTATAATAACGACCCAAGATAAAATCTGGGATAGCTGTTATATAATTGTCATATAAGTTCAATGTTGTTATATTTTGTGGCAGATCCAAAGGTAGTGCTTTGATCTTCCTAGAACTACAGTCTGCAGTCAACAAAGTACACTTACACGTTTGACATGATTCATCACTTGTTGCAGCATCATCACTTTGTCCATTATAATTGATCTTGTTGAACTCTCCAATTTCTTGGTCTTTGACTTCTCCATGCACAGTTAAACTGAAACCCATATTCAGAAATAGTATCATCAAAACGAAGTTTTCCATTTTTCTTGACAGTATTGTCCTATCTATCAGTACTCATTTATTTTGTGGTGTATATGAAATGAAAGTGTGGTTTCTCATAAATTAAATATTTTTGAAACAGGATAAACTTCATAAACAAGGAAGTTATTTCTTATTACATTTTATGTGATATACTATATTGAATTCTTAGAAACGAGGAAGTGATGAAACACCTTAAATTAATTCTTTATATTCTTTTTTTGACAATAATGTTCGCCATAAACATGTTATTGTGTATCACATTAAAGCTGTTGTATTTTAAGTGTGATCGCAAAAAGAGCGGACCCTAACTGAACATATACTAGCTCATGAAAGTATTGATAATTTGTACTGCCCACATTAATGCAGTTGAGTAGATGTAAAGTATGTACCCTGCGTGCAGAGTCTAGTTAAACTACGAAAAGACGAAGCTCTCTTTTCAGAAGTGAAGTCAAACGAATGCAAAGGGTATAAAGTATGTTGTGTTATTCAGTGACAATGAATCTGATTGGCCCATGCAATCTGATTGGCCCATGTAATGTAGATATATTCTGTATGAGTGCATTCAATATGAGTGCATTCTGACATCATACTCTGTCTTGACACATTAGACATATTGTGCCCATTAAAATCATTTGAAACATCATTTTAAATGTCATTAATACAAGTTATTGAATGATTTGAAGTGCAATACAGGATATATCCTGCTCGAGAAATTCCGTATTGGAACGAGTGCCAATACAGAATATCGAGACAGAATATATCCTGTATTGCACGTCAAATCATTCTATAACGTTTTTATCATGTGATCCTCTGTATTGCTACTGAGAATGTCCCCTCCGTACCAATAATTTCTGTATTGCGACGGAGATGATCAGTGGGGACAATCTCAGTGGCAATACGGATTGGTACAGCACAAGAACTGACCAATCAGAAGGCTTCATTTTACAGATTATACGATAAATACGGCAAATACTGTTAAATAATTTCTCTTAAAATACAGTAATTATTTTTCACCAAATGGTTAAATATTTAAAATAGCTTTGTGTTTTCTTTTCATATTAACATTTATGCATTTTCGCTTTTATATCCTAAATTATTCAATGATTCAAGATTTTACAGAAAGCTGTATCTATTGGATATATTTAAGCATCATATACTGACATTCTGGACTTGTGCCATAGAACGTGATTGCTTGTTTTTGCTCTTTGTTAAAAAATGAAAAGGCAGTTTGATTGAATAGAATGTGGTGTATATGAATAAAATGTAACGTTAAATCTATTAGTCATATGTTGTCCATGAATCATAAAATTTGTTTTTTTCGTACAATTTTATGAAAAACAAATATTCGCATGAATTCCATGTGTCGCCAGTTGAAGTCATCAATTGTGAATCACATTGTCAATCATCAAATCAAACAACTCTTAAATGAACCAGTTTTATAATCTTGGCTAAAGCCAATACAGCCTGGGAAAATCACTGACTTCCAAGATCCCTTCAATAGAGTCATCAAATCAATCACATTTGTCTCCCAAATATTCCAAATGTTTGTAAATTCTGTCATTTAATTGATTATTTCCCACGTCAACCTAGAGATTGATTCACTAAATTGATAATATTGGATAGCTATCCATTTTCAATAGTATCAAACCCCAATGGCAACACAATAGAATGAACTGTATTCTATTTAAAAGAATACACAGTTGTAACAAAGGTGGGTGCATTTATTCTATTATTTTTAAAGATTTTACTCTTGACAATCAAACTATTCAAAATCAATGTTGCCCAAAAGACGATTGACTGTCACATGCAGTGCACTAAAGCTGATCTAATTACACCCTATTCACTCATTCAATAGTTGAATAGTAAACACAAATGAAATCAATTTTTAAACTCTAACTGGCTTGTCACATGCAGTGCACTAAAGCTGATCTAATTACACCCTATTCACTCATTCAATAGTTGAATAGTAAACACAAATGAAATCAATTTTTAAACTCTAACTGGCTTGTCACATGCAGTGCACTAAAGCTGATCTAATTACACCCTATTCACTCATTCAATAGTTGAATAGTAAACACAAATGAAATCAATTTTTAAACTCTAACTGGCTTGTTACATGCAGTACACTGAAGCTGGACTAATTACACCCTATTCACTCATTCAATAGCTGAATTGTAATTCACAAATGAAATCAATTTTTAAACTCTACCTGGCTTGTCACATGCAGTACACTGAAGCTGAACTAATTACACCCTATTCACTCATTCAATAGTTGAATAGTAAACACAAATGAAATTAATTTTTAAACTCTAACTGACTTGTCACATGCAGTACACTGAAGCTGAACTAATTACACCCTATTCACTCATTCAATAGTTAAATAGTAAACACAAATGAAATCAATTTTTAAACTCTAACTGACTTGTCACATGCAGTACACTGAAGCTGAACTAATTACACCCTATTCACTCATTCAATAGTTAAATAGTAAACACAAATGAAATCAATTTTTAAACTCTAACTGACTTGTCACATGCAGTACACTGAAGCTGAACTAATTACACCCTATTCACTCATTCAATAGTTAAATAGTAAACACAAATGAAATCAATTTTTAAACTCTACATGTTACATGCAGTACACTGAAGCTGAACTAATTACAAGCACTCACATCTCAATACACTTACCTTATAGTCAGTACAAACGAAAACAAATCTTCCTTAAATTGGGTCATTGGCCATTTTACTTTACATTTGTCTAGGAAGACAAATAGCCTCGGCTCAAGGCCCTCGGCTATTATTTATCCTAGAATCCAGTACTCATAGTTTATCCATAACAGAATAAAGGTGCTTATTTAGGACATTGAGCTTGCTTTTTAAACTTTTTTGTTGGCTCTACTAGTGCATGGAATTCTCACAAAAGTGTCCAATAAACCCTGCCACCTTTTTGTACATCAAAGAAGCTATAACATGTTTGCTAGTTCTTGGTTTGAACCATTTTGATTCAAACGTTGAACCATTTTGGCTCAAACTCTTGGATGATTTGGATTTGAAGTTCTGAATTTGAAATGTATAATGTAGGCCTAGTATGATTCGGATCTTCGTGTCTCAAACATTTTTATTGATGTGAGATAGAAATCGGCGAAAATCCCATCCTTGCAATATAAGATATTTTCAGTGTTTAATAAGTCTTTGATATTTGATATTCTACAATGTTTAATCAAAGTAATATTGGTCTGATTTGTCTTCTGTCGGTGGCATATGGATCCGTCTATCCACAACTGTTTTGGCTATATAATCGGTCAAAAGAAGAGAAAACAATGTTTAGTTGTTTATTGACAGCCGACAGTCGAAAGTTGCATTTGCGAATACAAGCTAATACTTCGTTTCCATCTCAGCCGAAACCATGTGACTAGGTTAGTATGACATTTATTGCATGTATATACAGGGTGGGCCAAAAAACCAATACCCAACTTCAAATTAGGATAAAAATATTTACGTTTAATATGGTACATTGACTTACATATCATTTTAAAGGTAATACATTTAAACAATTTGGTATATTACACTATGTCATATAATCAATAGTAAAGGTGTGTTAGGCCTATACTTATTTGGGAGGCTGGATTGCTATTTATGATTTCTAGCTTTTAGGGAGAAAATAGTAAAGGAGTGGTATCGATATGGAGAACTGAATTCAACAATGTTTTTCTCTTAAAAACCAATCATTGAAAACATTCTGTAAAAAACACTTCGTGTAATGTTGACTGATTGACAACAATTTAATGCGAAAATTATTTAGAAATACTTTATATAACTGTTTTTGTTTATATAACTGTGTTTTTAGTGCAATTGTTTTTGCTCCTTTCTACCAATTTTTGAGAATGAAATAATAAAATGTCTTTCCGAACCTTGTTGGAACAAAATAGCATATACAACGTGTATTTAGACCTCTCAATGTTATAGTTATACAAAGGAATTTTTGGTTGATTTGAAAAAAGTATTCAAAAACTTAAAAACAAAATCCCCCAAAATAGATAAAAATCAAGATAAACCTTTTACTTCATTAACAAGATACTTTTTTAAAATCAACCAAAATTTCCATTGTACAATTACAATATTGAGAGACCTAAACATGTTGTGTTTTTGTCGTTTTGTTCCAATGAGTTTCGGAAAGATGCTTCATTTCACTCCGGAAACATGATACCAAGAACAAAACAAGTGTTTGATGTGTTTTCTAAAACAATATAGATGAAAGTATATTTTTTTTTCAAATTATATTATTAACATTCAAAAGATGACCATTAAATTGACGATGTGTTAAATTTTTAGATTTTTTAAAAATATTACTTGTTTAAGAGAAACTTGTTATCAAAAAGTTCTCCATATTGATACCACTCCTTTGTGGGATTGTGTTAATTTTTTATTTATATAATATCATTTTGTTAGGTGAGTACATGCTTGTATATTTGCATCATTGTGTGACTAAACTTATTGTTTATGAATTTCAGTGTTGTTCAATAGCATTTTACACTTTAGAGCAATTTTAACAATTGCTCAATATGCCCTCCCCTCTACGTCAACAATAAGCTTCAAGCGGTAGCGCCATCTTTCAATAGCCTTATTGACAGATTTCTGTTATATTTCATATCAGCAATTTGGGATTTTGTGTTTCAGCTCATCAATACTGTTTATTGGATGCTTGTGATTGTACCATTTCCCCGAGATGGCTCCATGTATGGTAATCAACCACATTAGCATTGGGGCTTTTGGGTTGCCAAGCATCTAGATCAATCAAATTGACATCTTGTTCGCAAAGGAATGCCAATGTTTCCTTTGTTCTATGGTACGAAGCAAGCAATGTCTTGTTGAAAAATAAAATCCTCACCACATATACGTTTTATGTCTTTTACAGACCCCTTTTGAGTACTCATTGATAATAAACAACACTGAAATTCATAAACAATAAGTTTAGTCACACACTTATGCAAATATGCAAGCATGTATTCACCTAACAAAATGATATTCTATAAATAAAAATTTAACACAATCCCGCAGATTTACTATTTTTCCCTAAAAGCTAGAAACCCTAAATAGCAATCCGGCCTCCCAAATAAGTACTGTATAATATACCTTAACTATTGATTATATGACATAGTGTAAT